GAGACAGAGAGAGCGAGAGAGAGAGAGAGAGATAGAGAGTGAGAGCGGGGATAGGGACAGCGCGCAAGAGGAAACTACCCAAATTCTGGGTCCAACATTATGAGATAAATCTACCCATTTTCTGGGGTCCAACATTATGACCCAGCCCCCCATACGCGGCTCAATAGGAAATGTGTTGCGGTCATTCTGTGCGCAAATCTCAGCGGCCTTGCGATACCCACGTGCGCAACAAACAAATCAAATGCCGCTCACACAATCAAAACCAGACTGCAACTGTGCCAAAACTCTAGATATCAGTTTGGATGTGGCTTTTGTGGATCCACCCCCGTAGGATAATGAAGGAGTACAGAAAAAATGCTAAAAAAGAAACGACAGGGGGAAGAACAGGTGAAGTCCACAAACGCCCATCCAAACGGTTTAGACAAACAGGTCGGGGCAGAAATTCATCATCAAAGGTCCGACTGAGTGGCATCACCACAAAGCTGGCGGCGCACAGGGTCAGGCGAGAGCGCACATCCATCTGAGGCACTAACCTTGCAAGCAAAGATATGCGGAGTGAACGATTCTGACACAAGTGGCGCAAGTGGCAAATCCAAGAGCCTCGCAAAAACGGGGGAAAAAAAAACTCAAATATACACTTGCACTTGCATACGGGGAGCCTGATATGTGTCTTTATATATATATATACGCATGCACGTATGCATGCATCCATGTATGAATGCAGAAACCATGATCCTATTGGTAGGCTTTTGTTTGATTGTATTTAAGTTGGGTTAAACAAGAAATTGACATTGGCTGGATTGAGGTGGGTTTTTTACTACACAGGGTTGGGCTGAGACATGTTTGCACCTCCTCCCCCCCACCGGCCCAAACGTGCAGGATGCTTTTTGGAGGCTTTCCAAACTCGTCCGGAAAAAAAGGGGCTTCGGCGAAAAAAACAAGAAGTCACAAGTGGCACCCGCCTCTGTCCAAAAGTCAGCAGCACCATGGCCAGCGCGCAAAGAGCGTTCTGCGACGTCGCTGCACGCGCCAGCGCCGGCTTGCCGAAGAGCCTCAGCAAAGGACGGCTCGGTGCTTGCGCCGAGCCTTCCTGGGGACGAGTTTGGAGTAGCTCCACATGGAAGCCACACACACGCACTGCGGGCTCCAGACATGTGGATGCACAAAATCCAATTCGCACCGACGAAGCCCTGGAACAGTGATTCCCCTGCAAATGCCAACAGGCAATTGTTTGGCATGGTTTCAAAGTGGTGCAGGATGCCGTTCATCCACAGCATGTCCAACAAGGTAGCCAAAAAGGGCCACCCTGCGCACCCTTGGACAACGGGCGTTGCACCTCCCAGCCTTCCAAAGGAGAGGAAGGACATGCACAAAAGCTGAACTTCCTGAAACGATGCCTTTCAAAAGCTAAACTAGTTGACACTCAGGAGAGCCGTTGGAAAGGACATGCGCTTTTGGGCATGTGACTGCCTGCTCGGACCACTGCTCACTACTCACTCCACTGCCAGGACAAAAAGCAGACGTGCCCAGCCAGGGGGCCTTTCCCGTGGGTCCAAACCGATAGCAACAATGGGGGCTGGGAGAGAGGGGGAGACAGGGGGAGACAGGGAGCCCAAATAAGCCGTGAACAAAGCCCTTTATAAGCCCGCCCTATTCATTAAGGGCTTATGTGGGCCCCCTCCCCCATGAAACAACCTTGGCAGTAGGACTTCCCAAGCCAAGGCTCCCTGTAAGGACTGTCACACAGAGCATCAGCTGGTTCCAAAGCACCGAGCTGGCCAGGCCAATCACTGCAAATGCGCACCTCGAAATGGATACCCCACCCACGTAGACCACATTAACCCTTTCATACCCTTTCCATACCCTCCCTCTACCACCTCGAAAGGACGGTGGTCTTCCAAAAACTTCCATGTTTCTTGGAGGGAGGGTATGAGTGTCTGTGGGGGGGGGCGCATCATTCACTTAGCGGATATCTGTCCACCAAACATTGTTGAGGGGGGCTGTGAAACATCTCAGTCGAACGGCAAAATCATGTATTCGCATTCCACCCCTCTTGCGTGCTGACAGAAATGAGGCATCACAACCCTGGGCTGAGTCACTACATGATGCAGGAGTTCAATAGGTAATGGAAGCAGAGCCATTGTCCAGCAAAACAAGCTTCAAAAGTTCAAGAAAGTCTTCCAGCAAGGGTTAACCCATATCTGAGAACACGCACGCAGAAAAACAGGCGCCAGTTCCCGAGTACAAGCCATTGTCATACAAGCTCCATTTCGAAAATGTTGCGGTGCGCGGCAGTGCGGGGTTGAATGTTGCGCCCCAAATGGGTGGTTTTTCTTTGGATTCCCTTCAAAAGGCCGCCCCCCCCCCTCGAACCCATCGTTTTGCACACCGTGGTCCGACACCAAATTCGCCGAAGGGTGGCGCCCCCGGGTCACCCGTTCCATTTGCTGAGCAAAGCCCATGCCCTCCAGAAAAATCCGGGGCGTCCAGGTACCCAAATCGCCAGTTGTTTCGGAGGAACCTCCTTTGACCCTAGAAGTGACCCCTCTTTAGGTTCCATGTTCAGCCTTCAACCATTGACCTCTGGGCAGCCACCCGGTTTTCGGTTTGCAAAAACCCGAAAACCCGTAGTAACATGAGGAACAAACAACAATTGGCCGCCCTCCTTTGGTTCGATTCCTCAAGGACCCCCCTGCGAAAAAAAATCCCATGGAGTTGCCCCCAGGGACGTCGGGTCGGACCCATACCGAGCCGCTGCAGCAAGAGGTTGGGGTCGGCCCTGGGCTTTGCCAGCAGCGGCTCAGGATCGAAGCCTGAGACGGGGCTCGACGCCTGTTCTTCGACCCGCCGAAAGGAAGGCCCAGTCTTGGCCCATGTGAAATACCCAAAAAAATGATGTCTCAGTCTGTGTCATCTTTGGTCAACCCTAACATGAACAAATATATATATATATATATGTATCTATATCTATTTGCATGCACATTGTGACTTGGAGAAAGCCCCTGCAAAAACCCAGGGGTATGGAGGTCAAAAACAGGTTCGTGGTTCAAACCAGGCAATAGCGATCGAACTAAGCCGACAATTTGATCACGATAGGGAAATATGCGCATGCATGCACACACACACACAGAAGAAAACACATAGGGGACCATCGGACACCGATGCCTCTCCTATTTGCCCGCTGCTCAGATTTCCTGTTGTATGTGCTCTGCTGCTGATATATCTTCATTCAAACTGCGCATTTGAGTGAGCAAGCGGTGGGTTGAATTGGGGTACTGCAAGGGGCACAGGTGTGGCGGCGCAGGCCAGGAAACAAGTCAGCAACGCTGGCATCAATCCAAACACGCAGGGAAAGGGCGTACGATATTTCACCCAGGCCTTGATTGTTTCACTTCCAAAGTTGCTGAACACGTTAACAGAGATTGCGCATGAGCAGCCTGAGGTTGATCTGCAAGGCTGCAGCTGTCCCGCCCCCGTTAACGAACAAATCCGAAGAGATATGCACACATGGGTGTACATGTATGTATCACATACAAACTCATGAGCCTCCTGCGAACCCCCATCCAACTCCGAGGAGCTCATGGTGCCTCTTCGGCAAATCCTTTGAGGTCGGGCTCTGGGCCGGGCTCTGCATTCGGACGCGCGAGCATAGTCATGTGTGTGTATACTCAAGGAAACCTTAGAAGGAACTTCCGAAGTTCACTGGAATTTCGCCAGTGTGTGTGTGTGTGTCATGTGTGCTTAGGAACTTCCGAAGTTCCTTCTAAAATTTGGCCAGCTCCCAAGAACGGCATGCAACCGCCGCGTGATCTGCAAGATGAGACGTAAGGTCCAAGTGGCCCACGGCCAGCGCAGAAAGCGAACCCCTCTGCGCACTTTGGGTGGGGGGTGGCCCTCAGCTCCACTTCGCTTGCGCAGTAAAGCCCCGTGACTTTCAGAGGCTCGACCCTAAAAGCTCGTAGTTTTTCTGTTTTGTCACTTGTGGCGAGAGAGAGGGAGAGAGAGAGAGAAAGAGACAGAGACAAAGAAAGAGAAAGAGAACGAGAAAGAGAGGAAGAAGAGAAATACAAAGACAAAGAGAAAGAGCAGGAGCAGGAGAGAAAGACAAAACGAAAGAGAAAGTGCAGAAAGAGAAAGAGGAAAAATAACGAGGAAAGAGAAAGTGAAAGAGAGAGCGAGATAGAAGAAGAGAGAGAGAGAGAGAGAGAAACAAAAACAAAAAGAGGAAGACAAGGAAAAAGAACAAAGCGGAGAAAGAGATAGAAACAGAGAAGATCGAGAAGAAAGAGAAAGAGAGAGAGAGAGAGACTGAAAGAGAAAAAGAACAAGAGAAAGCGAGGTCCAAACCATAGTTGATATACTTTGAAACATCCCCCCGGCAAAGCCCCGGACGTTACTGGCACATGAATATACATTTGTAGACAGAAATGTGTATATATATATATATAGAGATTCCAGAGGCTCCCGATTCATTTAGGGCCTTCAAACAACCTGGTTTTGAGAACCCCAACCACCTCCGGGGTGTCTAATGGAGGGGTCGGGTCTTCCATTGAAAGCCCCAGGAGCCTCTGGGATATATAATTTTTTTATGTCCATATTTTGTTTTTACGTCCCCCTCCCCGACCCCCCCCCCCCGCTCCAAAACAACACGAAAACACCCTCCATATTCACATCATATACGCAATCAGAAGTGCATAAGCATGTCTGAATATGTTTGTATACAGTGATAGCACGCAACTGGAACAACACATGAAAATTACAAGTTGGAAAGAACTGCAGCCACAAAGAAACCAATGCCCCGGTGATATGCTGCCTCTTACAGCTGCCCGTTGCCATTTGCTTCTCGCACCCCCCCCATGGACTCTTGAGCAACCTTGCCAAGTGGGAATGGTTCAAAATTCAACCACACCAAGGCGCCGCAAATTTTGGTCCGCGTTTCCATTACCAGGGCTCCATTCTGGGCACATATGTTTAACCCACAGCCCTGCAACCTTTCTTTTCACATGCGATGGATCGGTGGGTCCTGCCCCGCCCCGGCCGTCTTGGCCGGGAGATCTCGGGTCGAAGCCAGCGAGATCTCGGTCTACCGCACCCAAAGAGGGCGCTCGGCCTTGGCCAACTTGTGCAAGCGCCCGATCAGACCCTTCGCCGTCTCGCTCACCGTTTGGTCGGCATGCTTGGCGCACAAGCCCACCTCACCCAAACCGATTGCTGATCCCCGTGTGGCTTGGGCCCGAAAAAGAAGTGGATAAGAGTTCCTAGTGAAGGACTTCTCGTGCCAATGACTTATTCGAAGGAGCCATCATTGCACAAGATTCATGGCCGGGGTTGGCCTAATTCATCAGGGACACAAGCCAGCCCGCTAAAGACCCAGACCACCCACGAATCGGGAGTGAAGAAGCTTTCTGGAGAAATATGGGCTATTTCGGCCATACATGGCCTTAACGGCGGGGTCCAATTTTTCGGGGTCTTTGGCAGGGCTGTGGGGCAAAAAGGCATTCTTGGGAACCTGTGTTTCTTTTGGGTTTCCCTTCAACCAAACAAGTATTGGGCAAATTTTAGTCAAATGCGGTTCTGAGAGCCATGGAAGATGCTACTTTAACTTAAGAGCCTTCTTGTAACCAAATGAGGTCCCCAGATCCAAACTCTGTGGATTGTCCCGATGCTCTCCCTTTAGAACCTACCAAACCAGGTACCAACTCTCAAGAAAGGCATCAGGATCAGGATCACCCCCCCCCCCCGAAAATGGCGGCGCCAACTGAACACACCAGAGGACACATTCACCCAACCACTCCAGACCTTCGCCCAACCGATCCAGGCCACAACGCGCAGAATTGAGTTATCAAAGCTTTTGAGATTGAACTTGGCAAAAAAGAAGAAGAAGCAGCATTTAAACCACTAATTTATATTAACCTAAACAAAAAAAACACAAAATTTGAATAAACAATTCACACAAAAAATAAAAACAAAAATATCATTTATCCCCTGCCCCCGGTTCCCCTTCGCGCCCCCCCCCCCCCCCGGCCTCCTTTCCGATCTTCGTCTCGGAGGCCGCCTCCCAGGTGAGGGGCAGGGCATCCAGCTCCTGCAGCAGCGCCTGGAGCCCGGCCACGTCGTTGGCCTCCAAGCTGTCCCCCAAGTCCTAGGGCTAAAACGGAGGAAACGGAGACAGGACATGGCGGTGGTCATGGCTGTGGTTTTTTTCATGGCTGTGGTTTTGTCAAAACGAAAATCCGAAAACATTATAAAGTCCTAGAAAAACGGACAGAGGACATGGCTGTGCTCGTTGTGGTGGTCAAAATTCAGGGACATTGCAACTTGAAAAATTGGTGGTGTCCATTTCTTTATTTGGGTATGGAAAAAGCAACATGTTTCAAATGGCTGCAAAATGTATCTTTTAAGGAGCCTTGCAAAAATAGGATCAAAAATAGGGTAACCCCAAAATGGCTTGCCCTGGTAAGTGGCAACTTGGACCAAAACCTGCGGTCCAATTTCTGGTGATGTAATTTTGACCCACACCCACATCAGAAGGGGGGGCGGATGTTAGAAGGTTTGTCTTGACAGGGACAAGTGGGCCGGGGCCTCACTGCCCCAGTGAAAGGGCTAGCCCATGTCATCAAACACAATCCGATCTACCACAGGAGAGGGGGGGGGGGATCCCAGAAAGAAAAGGGGGTCCTTGCAGAGTGTCTGGGAAACCATCCCCTACTCTTGGAATTGCAATAACGACCCCTCTGCAAAAGGCGAACCACTTTTGCGGGTCCAATGCAAAAGTCCCACCTGTTTGAACAATCAACTCTTAGTTGGCGAAAAAAGTGAATCACCTTTTGTAGGTCCAATGGAAAATACCAGTTTTCCAAAAAGTTCAACCAACTAGCCATAAAGATCTATGGGAATTTGTCAGAAAATCAGAGACCCCCCCCAATAAAAACAAAACAACACAAATAAGCACCATTGGTGCTGGTTTTCTGTTCATCCGCAATGCGAGCCACACCCGCGAATCTACGCGAAACGCGGTGCTTACAATGAACGGGCCTGTGCTGAGAGCAGAAATTGGGGTGCGGTCCCCTCCTGCTATATCGGGCTTGTCCTGCTTGAGCGCGCCCTGTTTGGGGTTCGAAGGGGGACCAAGATTTAAACCGGGCCCCTTTTGCATGTCCCAGCACCTGTATGCAAATACACCAATCTAGCAAATACAAACACGTGCCTGCAAATGCTGTAGTTGTTCAAGCTTGGCATTCAATTCTAAGAAAAGAAGAAAGCTTCTGAGCAAAGAGGTACGGACAGGAGACAAATGCCATGGTTGCGCCCAGCATTTGCTTCGTACAAAGAACCCATTGGCCACACCCCAAGACTTGCTTGCCCTGTCCGAGCCAATCTTTTCAGTCTGACCTGCTTCAACGACTTCAGAGATCTCAAGGTGGTCACCGACTTGTTCTCGCTGTCCTTCAGGGTTGCACAACTTCTTACAACCAGACCGCCTTTTCTTTAAAAATACGACGAGTTTTACATAAACCGGGTGCTTTCCACAAGAAACAAAGATGTCTTTTGATTGCGTTTTCGCAAAACGCCGGATGGCGGGCCCGAACTCCTTCAAGTTCAGCTTGGCGATCTGATCCCTCAGCGCCGTGCTCTGGGGATTCAACGCCAGCGCCTCCTGAGGAAGGTGGAAAGCCGAGGTCTTCGGGAACCACATGACTATTGCCTAGGGGCAAAACACACATGTTCCCGACAAGGGTTTGCCAACTAAGAGCGCCCCTCGCATCATTCAACATGGAACCTGACTGTCTGGTGGGGGGGAGGGAAGCAAAACAACATATTTTGAGAATTCCATGTTCGTGGGTGGGAGGCACCCCCTTTCTGTCGCCGGGTCTACTTTCCTGGTGGGTTTGCCTCCCAGTCCACTTCCATGATTCTTGGAAACAAAATGCGGGATCGCGCGAATACCAACATTGCAATTGCCCCTAACAAAACAATAGGGGGCTCCAACAACCCGCAGAGCCGACCGGTGGGCCAATAGCGAGGTGCCGCAGCTGGCTATCAGTTCCGTTGCTATCACAGAGGCTGGGTCACAATGCCAGGCTACCGCGCACACCCGACAGGGCGTTCAACCTACTGCTGCAAACCCACAATTCCACAACAATACTGGTTTTCCACAATTTGGACTTTGAAACCAAGCTCCAGAACATTTCTGAAAGCTGGAAGTAAACTATGGCCCTCCCCTCTCCCCCGATGGCCAGCTGCTCCTTCAAAACGGCCAAGGCCTCCTCCGTTTTGCCCTCCTCCCCCAAGCGCTCAGCGTAGGCGGATCTTCCCTGGATCTCCACCTCCGCGGGCACCCGCGTGAGCTGGCAGCCCTGCACGGCACACCTGCCGAAGAATATTCAAAGTGACGTGAGCCCCAAGCTGGCGGCAATATATCGCCTTGATGTAGCTGTTGTTGCCGTTGCTGGTACTAGCACTAGTAGTAGCAGTAGAGGTAGGAATACTAGTAATTAGCAGCAGTAGCAGTAGCAGTAGCAGTAGCAGTAGCAGTAGCAGTAGCAGCAGCAGCAGCAGCAGCAGTGGTAGTGGTAGTGGTAGTGGTAGTGGTAGTGGTAGTGGTGGTGGTGGTAGTAGTAGTAGTAGTAGTAGTAGTAGTAGAAGTAGAAGTAGAAGTAGAAGTAGAAGTAGAAGTAGAAGTAGTAGTAGTAGTAGTAGTAGTAGTAGTAGTAGTAGTAGTAGTAGTGAGTAGCAGCAGCTGTAACTCTTACAACTCCTAGTAGGGTAGCAAACGACTTTGTTTTTTGCAGCCCCCCCGGTAAACATGAACAAAGCCAAACAACTACAAGAACAAAATACATGCCAAGAACCGCACCTCCCATGCTTGGTGGACTCTGCCCCGCCCGCAGCTGCCAGCGCCGCATGTGCAGCAGCCCACTCACACAGCTCTTCGTCCGCCAGCTGTCGTAGCAGCTGGTCCTGAAAAACTGACCCCTCGAAAAGAAAGAAACTAGCCCTACATCAGCCCCATGGTTGCTGTTGGCTCCTCTGCAAAAATTGACTTTTGAGTCCAATGGAAAAGGGTCGAGATTTAATTTGGGATTTTTTTTGTTTTATTTTGGGATTTTTTTTTGTTTTCCGTCCTGGCTACTAAAATGCTGTAATTTACAGCAATTTCTCGCGAAATGTACGTATTTTACGCTAGTCCGTCAACATCATCAGCATCGTTTTCAACATCCCCCGCATGTCCAGCCAACATCCCCAGCACCACCAGCAAATTGGTTTCCCGCATCCCACGGTAAACGTGAGGATTCAAATACGGGCAAACTAATCCCTGTAAAACACCTAAAACGTGGCGGCAGCCCCCCCGCATGATGATTGAAGAAGTGATGATTCAAAAAGCGCCAAAACAAATACATATAATAAACAAAATGGGGGGGGGTCAGTTCCTCTGCGGCAAGGCCTCATGGTACAATACGGGCAAACTAATCCCTGTAAAACACCTAAAACGTAGTTAGGGCCAAAAAAATATTAAAAAAGCAGCGGGGGGGTCATCAGTTCCTCTGCGGCAAGGCCTCATGGTACAAGTGAGGATTCAAATACGGGCAAACTAATCCCTGTAGATCGAAAAAGTGATGATTCAATCAGGGGCAAAAAGTCTAAAAAATAGCGGGGGGGTTGGGGGGGGCGGCAGCCCCCCCCATGATGATCGAACAATTAGGGGCAAAGAATCTAAAAAGTAGCGGTCGCATGATGATCGAAAAGTGATGATTCAATTAGGGGCAAAAAGTCCAACAAATAGCGGGGGGGTTGGGGGGGGCGGCAGCCCCCCCCATGATGATTGAAGAAGTGATGATTCAAAAAGGGCCAACAAATAGTTAAAAAAAACAGCCGGGGGTCATCAGTTCCTCTGCGGCAAGGCCTCATGGTACAAGTGAGGATTCAAACACGGGCAAACTAATCCCTGTAAAACACCTAAAACGTAGCGGGGGGGGGGGGGCAAAATGATGATCGAAAAAATGATGATTCAATTCGGGGCAAAAGGGGGGGGAGGGGGGGCGGCAGCCCCCCCCGATGATTGAAAAAGTGATGATTCAAGTAGGGCCAAAAAAATATATTAAAAAGCAGCGGGGGGGGTCATCAGTTCCTCTGCGGCAAGGCCTCATGGTACAAGTGAGGATTCAAATGCGGGCAAACTAACCCCTGCAAAACGGAAGACCCCCCCCCATGATGATCGAAAAAATAGGGGCAAAGAATCTAAAAAGTGAGCTGTCGCATGAGCTGTCGCATGATGATCGAAAAAGTGATGATTCAATTAGGCGTGCATTTTAATCGAAAGGGGGGTGGCGGGGGGCCCGGAGAGGAACTTGCGATGCTGAGGATGCAGGAAGCCAAGGCCAAAAACCAACTGGGAAAGCAACAGGATGCGACAAGCCAAAGCCAGAAAGCCGCCAAAAGCCAAAAAGCCAAAAAGCCAAAAAGCCAAAAAGCCAAAAAGCCAAAAAGCCAAAAAGCCAAAAAGCCAAAAAGCCAAAAAGCAAAAAAGCCACCTGCCGCAGCGGAACTGGCAATGCAGAGGATGCGAAAAGAGAGGAACTGTGAATGCAGATGATGCGAAATGAAAAGCCACAAAAGCCACAAAAACCCACGTAAAAGCCACAAAAACCAAAAAGCCGAAAAGCCACCGACCCTGAAAAACAAAAATAATTCCTTAAAAAAAACGAAAAAAAATCCTAAAAAAAATGGCCCTCCAATGGAAAATCCACAGCTTGCCAAACAATTGAAGTGCATGGATCCCACCAAACAACCATAGCCATAAAGATGTCCACACCCTCAGGATATCACCTGGTTCCATTTCTGCAAATCCTGTCCCAACAAAAGGAGCCTTTGGTGAGGGTCCGGCCCCGGGCGCCGCGCTTGCCCTGGACTCCTGCGAGCCTTCCTGCTGGGTTTTGCAGATTCGCAAGCTGAAGATCCCAAGCCAAAAAGCCCCGAGAAACCTCAACATCACTAGGTCACGTTAGTCAATGCCCAACAAGATTCTGAATTTGATGGGCCATGTCAACTGGGAGTCAAACAAATCGGGGTCCTTTTGGGCCTCCCCTTTTGGGCCTCCCCTTTTGGGCCCCCTGGGCCTTTCCTTTTGGGCCTCCCCTTTTGGGCTTCCCCTTTAAACTGACGCAAGTGCGGCACCAGCTCCTCCACCACCAGCATCTCAGGCTGCTTCTCTGAGGTCGCCGTGCGAGTCTCCAGGCACGGCACTCCCGGAGCGTCCCGCCGAGGTGGAGAGAAGGGCGAGGCTTTGCCGTCGCCCTCGGCTCCCTCGGCGTCCCACTGCAAATCCTCAGCATGCCGCAACCCAGGGTAGGTGTCAAAATAGGGGCCCCCCTACAATTGGGGATCCAAAAAATGTGCTTGTATGTGCTTGTCCTTTTGGTTCCCTTCAGCACAACCCCACAAAAGCTACCCGCGAGCAACACAAGCGCTGAGTGGAAGTACACGGTTTCCTGGTTTCCTTTGGGGGGCTTGTTGATTCAGGGGGCTTGTGATTGGGGGGCGGTATGTACAAAGAACATGTCCAACATCGAACGGTCATTCCTGGGCAGCAAAGGCAATTCACCCGATTCCAGCACTCCCAGATGCTCAATCCTCGCGATTTTAACCTGGTTTTTGTTTTTTTATTACCTGGAGGGCCTCCCTTGTGCTGAGCGTCGTAGATGCTATCTCCGCCTTTCCCCTCTTGAGTCTTCCACTTCCGACTCGCCAGCATCTCGTCGAACCACAGCAGGATCCGCCGCCATCGCCTCAAAGCTTGCCTCGGAAACGTCAGGAAGATTTGGATGGGTGGCTCGGCTGGTTTTGGGATTCGGGCCCTCCACCCAAAGAAAAGAACTGGTTTCCACTTGTTTTCCCATGCACAGGGGGTGGGGGATCTAGAATGAGGCATCCTTCTTGGATTGTGGAGGGTAGAGTGCAGGCCCTTTTGTGGGACACGCTCGGCCGTACATCTATCTCGCCAAGAACTTGAACACAAGTTGCGCAAGAATAGGCCTGGCACTCGGAAACTTTGCGCCATTTCGCCACTGCACGGCTTCCTTTGCTCCACGTCCCCGGATGACACAACCCGCCAAAAGTGCAAAGCCCCTTTGACAATGCAATCAACCAGTGGCTCTGCTTGCTCTCCAGCAAAAAATAGAGCTGAAAAGACTTGAAGGAACCGCCTTAGGATTCCGTGTGGGCATTGCCGGGGTGTTCTCATGAGCGTTCCCATTGCCGGTTCTCAGAAAAGTGCGAGGGTTGAGTTGTGAGCCGAGGGATCCGAAAGGGAACTAGGGATGGTGCAGTTGGGCGTGGAACATTCTCTGCGAGCCAGCAAGCAGTTGGGTGACCCATGGGTTTGGATTTACGGGATCGGCGAGAGCACAAAGTGATCGAAGACAATTTGCTAGACCCCGCTCCATGGGTCTCCGTCCCCGGATTTGGGCGCCCTCTTGAAAAACCGGATGGATGCCACATGACCAACCTGACAATATAATCCATCCTTCAAGCTGGGTCTTGAAGTAGGTCAAGAATTTCTTAGCCATCTGGGGTCCCCAGAAGGAAAAAAAACATATGTTCAGCTTTGGAGACCCAAATGGAACCCCACCCTCCCAACCCCCCCCCCCCCCGCGCGTTCCGCATTCCGCTTTACGCGGAACGCGCCTCGTGTGGCCCATGGTCTCGAGCTCTTGTGCCCTGCGCCGCTCTGAGCGGATGGACTCCAGACCCTGCCACAGCTGGTCCGAGGGCCCGCGATTTGGCGGCACCACCTGGGGAGCTCAACCCCGTAGAAAGGAAACAGGGATGGAAAAAAACATGCAGCCCCAACCTTCTCAACCTCGATGTGAATGGACACGGGTCCGCTGGTGTCCGGCAAACTGCAGCCCTCGTTGTAGGCGCTGTGGATGTCCTATCCCCCATACGAAGTGGCGCGGGGGTGGGCGAACCCCCAGCCTCAACTCTGTTCGGAAGAGGTGTGAAGTGACACTCCAGAAAATACCCCCCCAATTCCTTTCAGAAGATTGTGTGAAGGGACATTTCAGGAAATACCCCGTCATACTCCCTCTCCTCTCCCCTTTTTGGGATGTTCCCTCTTGGGGATCGGACCCCCTCCCCAGCTTCCATGTCCTTCTCCATGTCACGGATGGGCACGCCATCCCGGAGCACCAACTCAAAGTGGGTGCCTGGCGGCGTCCCCAAAAAAGTGGGAACATGGAACTGACAACTCTGGGTGTCGGGGTCAAAACAAGAAATCACTGCTCCGTCCTTTGGGATATATATATATATATATATAATATTCTTCAAGAAATGAGCAAACCTTTGTGATACGTGCGGAAAAGGGGTCCGACCCCCACTCTCCAACTCCATCTTGGGGTATGAACTAAACTCGGTGTGTGTGGGACCACAGGCCCCATCGGAAATTCCGATCTTCCTCCTTTGGTGCCACCGAGAAAGGAAAACCAAGTGGTGGATGGTTGAGGTGTGCGATGCACCCACTTGTTGGGCTGCGGGAATTCTCCATGAGAACTTAAGAGCGGAAAGTCGGCAAATAGGATGTCAAAATCAGCAATCCAGGCCAAATTGACAATCTACGCATGCTTTTGAGACCAGCCTGCCATACCTCCAGATCGAGGGGACCACTGATTTGTTCAATAAAGGTAGCGTAAAGAAGGATGCCTACTGTATTTTTCTCTTCTTTTTTTTGGGGGGGAGGGGGGGGGCGCACGATTTTCGCCAACCTGGCAATGTCGACCACGGATGAATCAACCTCATGGATGATTCGCCACATTTCTCTGAAAAAAACAAACTTCCCGTGAAATCATCAATAAGAGGAACGTTCAAGAGGAATCCTCTGCACGTTTTGGTGGGCCATGCGTGTTTCTCAATACGGTAGTCTGAAGAGCACCACTTCCCGCGCGACGCTCGCCTTCGGTGACGGCATTTGGCAGCTTGAGGCAGTGCCCCACGCAGGGAGGGACGAACTCCTCCGCTGCAGCCTCCTCCCCCACGACGAACTCCATAGGCTCCTCGGAGCGTGTGGGGCGTCTGGTTCTTTGTTGGGGTATCCCTTTTTTGTTTTGTGGGTTTAAAGAGAAGCCAAAAGGGAAGCCACAACTTGTCGGGTCCGTCAACAAAAAGACACACCGTGGAGACGGATACTTTTTAAATGGATGCCACCGCAAAATGCTTAGAAGCTACCTCATTTGGGTTTGCCGTTGCTCATTTGGGTTTGCCGTTAGCGAGCAACTCGGCTGTGAGTACCAGTTGGGCTTTTCAAGGGGTTTTCCCCTTTCGAAATGATGTTCTCTCTGGATGATCCAGCAAGAGTTGTATATAAATAAACTTGATCGCTCTTCCACGCTCTTCCACGCTCTTCCACGCTCTTCCCCCCCCCGCCCAACAAAAAGTTTAAGCTGTCACAAGTTGCTGGGACCATTTCCCGCAAAATTACAAGGTTAGTGGGACCATTTTCCCCCAAGACTTAAAGGTAGACAATCCCTTCAAATCAGGGCTGTGGGAAATGACCACTTCTGTGATACAACAATAAGGGCTTCCCAAAGACTAACCCACCACATAACGGGGGAGATTCCCAAAAGTATCACAGAAGTGGGGTAAAACCCCGAGTGATCCCACAACCCTGCTTCAAATAGCAGTCCAGTAAAAGCGGCTCCCAGCCAAAGGACCCCCCCAGCGCCCCGACCGTCCGACCGGCTGACTCCTTGGTGCGATCCGCCCGGAGCACCAGGCCATTGGGCCCAGGCGCCAAGCCCATGCGCGTGTCCTCCGGGTGGCGCACTTTAAAGGGCGACCAGATGGGACCAGCCAAATTCGGATGGTGCTATATATATATATACAACTATATTAATCTATTTATTTATACTAATATATGTATCTATATATAAATATATTTATCCAAGTGGCTTCCTTGGCTCCGTCGCAGTCCGAGACAGTTGCAAAACACATGCGGTCCTGCAAATGCAGACGTGCTGTGCAGCCCCAGTCCTCTTTCAAGGGGCAACTAGACTCCTAGGTTGGTTTAAACAATGGCCGGAACATGTAAGTGATTGGCCTCACCCTCTCAAGTCTCCTTCAGGCTAAAGTTCATCAACAGCTTAGCGATCCGAAAGTGCGCTTGCACTTTGGCCAGCTGCTCCACAGGGCTGGAGGCTTTGCCTTCCTTGATGACACGCAGCAGGTACCTGACGCCGGGCCGGAAAGGAACTGAGCACCGTGAACTTATGATATGGCGCTTCTGTACCAGCGTGGTTTCCCCCAAGTCAAGCCTTGACATGGGCAATAATTTTCACTTGGGGCCCTGTAGCGGACATCATTTAGGGGGTGTATATCCACCTACGACAGGGGTTCCCCACTAAACATCACTACCATGTGGCAACGCCACCTGCGTCCGAATCCAACAAAAGTAGCTTGAGGCCAGCGGCTTGTGGGTGTCGCAACATCCGCACCTTCCCAAAATATACGTAGTTCCCTTTGGGTGCTCGTCAAAAAAAAAAAAAAAAAACGCCCAAGACGGAATCTCCTTCAAAGAAAGACACCCCCAAATTGAAGGGAAGACTTCCCGGCAAGCCAAAAGATCCTCACGGCAGGGCCTGCCGTCGCCGTCCAGATCCACGTACTCCGCGCTCTCCAAGAGCTCCATCTCCATGGAGTAAGTTCCGTTCGGCTCCTTTCAAGGCGAGGGTCAGGGGAGTCCCAGTGGATGTGTCAAGGGCACATCATCCATCTTGACCACAGAAGATACCCAACGAAAAATCAGCCCTAGAATGAATCACACCTCATCCCCTCCCCACCCCCAAAAATGGACACCTGTTCCAAAAAAGCAAGCCAGCTGTGCCTGGCCTTCTCCTCCTCCATGCAGAACTCCTCCGGCAAGCCCAGGATCTGCAGCGCCTGCCGGCGCAGGCTGCTCTGCTTCACCTCCTCCGGGATGTCCTGGGCCCAAGTTGCTATGAGCCACAACCAAAACCCGGGGTAGATGAAGGGCAGCCCCGGCCAGAAATGGGTGCGGCCTGCTTAATTCTTTACATGGTTCTGGGCCAGCTCTGGGTACTCGTGCTCAGCTCTTCCTACTTGCACGCGCCGAAGGTCAGCCCGGTGGCTTGGAGGGGTTCCCATTTTTGCCCCCAAGAACCCGGGGGTCAAATCCAGAACCACACATCCAAACCACCAAAGGGTTAGCAAAGAAAGGGTGATCTTGGGAAAACCCCCCAAGAAACGCATAAAAGAAAGCAAATGGGAGTTGCTGAGTTGCTCTTTCTACGGTGGTTGTTGTCCTTTTGCATGGGTGTGTCCGATTTGGGGAACACAACAAACTGGTTCTTTTGCGTTTTCCGGTTCAATCCAAGCCCAAAAAGGGGCTCCCCAAAAAAGACACCCCCCACGTGTTCATAACAAAAGCCATGTACCCTTGTCGACAATGAAAGTGGCTTTAGCCCTTTTGGAGTGTCGTCCAAATCTCGGGTTCCCCTATGGAACCCGTTCGTGCCCAGAGGAAAATTACATAGTGCGCAATAATGAGGGCCCAGAATTATTTCAACCCCTTGGTTGATTAACAAGGTGGTGTGCCCTTTAACTGGGCGTCTCTCACTTTTGGAGAGGACACCCCCTGTTGATAGGGCGGGTTTTAACCGCTTAACAAGGTTTCGTCTGAAAAAACAGGTGTCTGCAGATTAGCCCGGTGGACCGTACCCATTTTGGTTCTGAATGCCTGTACCCCCCCCCCTTAAGGTAGTTAGGTCCTATCCCTAGGGTGGCTAGGAAGTGGATATAGCAACATTTTCCCTAAGACTTCCTAAGCTGAACCTAAGAGACCCCTTGATTTTGATCGGACATTCGAGCTGCGTTACTTTGCTGCGTCCCCCCAACCTAGGGAAATCATAAGAGATTCGAATTGCTTTTTCTGAAAGTGCTGCGTCCCCCTAAGCATTCCGCAAACATGCTTCCCCAAGGAGACCGTACGGCTTTGTCTAGGGCTTCCCTAGGGCTTCCCTAGGGCTTCTCTAAGGTTTCCAGCTTCCCTAAGGCCTCCCTAAGGCCTCCCTAAGGCCTCCCTAAGGCTTCCCTAAGGCTTCCCTAAGGCTTTCGTAAGGCTTCCCTAAGGCTTCCTTAAGGCTTCCCTAAGGCTTCCGTGAGGCTTCCCAAGGTTTCTTTAACCTAATTTGCAGGTTCGGTATTTCTTGTCAGTGTTCCCGCCCTGCGCAGGGCGAATGTCAGGCCAAGCTTCCCCAAGGCTTCCCCAAACCTTCCGCAATGCTTCCGCAAGGCTTCCTAAGCCTCCCCTGCAAGAGAAGCCCTTTAAGCTTAAAGGGGGGGGGGGGTAAAGGAGGGGGGTACGGGCTCCATAAATTGGGGTGGTTCCCCTTGTCTAATGAACTATTTCGGGCGGGGGCCTCGTACTAGTAAGCCAAAGGGGCAACTTAGACTTGAACGCGCCAAATCCTTCTACAAGCCCACGCTAAGCTCGAGATGCGCGAGTTTGGTTTTCCTCCACAAAAGGCAGCCAACAGCCCAGAGCTTTGCCGGGATTGAAGGGCAAGCTCCAAGTGGGCTTGTCTCAAAATGCACCCACAAATTGTTGGCTTCCCGGAATGCTCCGAAGTGGATACCCAAAAAAAGAACGCGGTATAAACCGCTGGGTTTTCGGTGGCAACCTGCGCCGAGACCCCACGACAATTGGGGAGCCTGGCGTCCTTTCAAATAGATGGCACTGGCAAATAATTGGTGAAACCGGTGGAACTTACCTGGACCCTCAAACTACCCGACAAATGGGCCATTCGATATCCGGACACGTACCCTAATTTTTGACAAGTATTCCATACTACCTCAATTTAAACTTCCACTTGAATAGGTACTTCGGGATTTTTCTTTTCCGCGGATGAGCTGCACGCTCCAGCCGTCCAGCTCTCCAGCTCTCCAGCCCTCCAAGGCTCCAGCCCTCCAACCCTACCCTCATCCAAGGGCCCAGTTGCGGGGCACGGGATTTGATTCCAAAACGCCTTTTGGAAAGTGTGCACCACACACGGTGCCATCCCACAAAACGGCAACCACACACATACATGGGCCTGTTTTTTTGAGCGCAAAAAGGTGTCGGCCTGTTTTTCCCAGGCTTCCTTGCCTCACCACGGATCCTTAGGGGCTGGGGGAACCACGGAAATCACACAGAAGGGAACGTGGACAGGAAGCTTCAACTTCGTTGACGTCCGGTGTCCGGGGACGGGGTCTGTCCCGGTCTTGCCATTCAAACATCTGACTGAACAAATCTTTCATACTACCTGTGGGTCACTTCAAATATCGGACTTCACACATTTTACACCTAGCCCATCCCAGCCCTGGCCCAACCATATATTTCCATGGCATCACTGTATGGCATCTGTTTCCAAGCAAGCCGAGCTCAAAAGGACACCTGGGGTGTGTTGATTTTCAGGGCTTTCCATCTGGGCTTCCCTTTAAAAACACACACACCAGGGGTACCTGGAGTCTCCATGACTCTTTAAAAATGGGGTGGGTCATGTAATGACCATTTTCTAAGGGTCATGGAGAGTCCAGGTACGCCCAACCTGCCCTGACTGACGGCTCCTTGTACATCTCGCGCTGCGGAGTCGAGTCCGGGAGCCACTGCTGCAGGCACCGCGAGATGGCGGGCTCCACGGAGGGGCCGAGGGAACGCCGGGCCACTTCGAACTTCCCCAACTCCTGGCCGTGGGTTCCGGAAACCAACTGGCCCCCTTGTCTTAGCAAGAGTCACCCCCGAAGTGGTGGCTTAAAGGGAAACACCGGCCGGTTTCTGGCTTTGATGTGCCAAAGAAACAGCCAACATAATGACCCCAGACCAGCCCTTGGCATGGTAGCAAAAAAAAAGAGTTCTTGGTCGCATCGCAGCCCGCGGCACAAAATGAGCAGAAAACAAGCATGCCAACAAGAGCAAAGTTCCTTTTTTCCAATGAGAATCCCGGATCTAAGTAGAACCCCTGGTTATCCCAGAAATTGTCCCCTTGTTAGTGGGGCTTCATCACTTTCGGAGGGGAACACCCATCAACAAAACCGGTTGGTTCATCCGGCTGAGGGTCTAGCGACCCTCTTTCTGTGGGTGCCCATGGGTGCCCAGTGAGCAAACTGGAATAGGGAAGTTGAGTTGGTTACTGGAAAAACCGACCCATCCCCTTTGTTTTTTCCCTTAGACCTATGCCAGGTTTGGGTTGTCAACCAAACAAAAACCCCTGCGCCAAGTGGTTCCGACGTTGCCAGGGCACGTAGAGCTGCAACGTCTTCCCCGCGCTATTCCAGGCCGCGAAGACGTTGCCTCGAAACGGGGCGAAGTTGCTGACACGGGTCCCCTCCAAAGGGAATCACAAATAAAGGTGGTTGAAACAAGAGCCGAATTATGGGTTGGCCTCACCACATTCCAGTCATTTCAAAGGTGATCCCAGCCCAAATATGGCACGTTTGAAAAACACAAACACCAAATCCGACCACTGCCGAGAACCTACAAGTCCAGTGGATGGAACAAACGCACCTACCATCTGGTGCTGGAGTTCGTCCATATTGTAAACCAACCAATCTCAAATGCAAAGCCATGGTAAACGAAATCAACTCACAGGGAATTCCTTGTTCCCAGGTTCCTTTTTCACTTGTTTTTGAACCTTTTTTGAGGGCACCGGTTTTTCTCGTGTTTTGGTTTACCCTTTTTGGGCGGCACCGGCACCAAGAACCCCCCCCGGCGCCTCGGGCGTCGTCCACCACCCAGCGCGCCGGCTCCGCCGGGCGCTCAGCCGCCTTGGGCGCCGCCATGGGGCCCATGGGCTGCTCCGGGGCCAGGCTGCCCGGCGGCTTCCTGCGAATGCGTGCGGATTCGCCTGGGCTTGGGTGGGGCTTGGGCGGGGGGGGGGGGGGTTGGGGGGTTCCGTGGTGAAAAAATGCAGGGGGGCGGGGGGGGGGGGGGGCTGTGGACAGAAGCACCTCGGAGTTGTGTGCTGTTGAGGGTTCTAAGTTTAAAGTCATGGTTCATGGCAGAGGTGTGAGTTGAGACTGTGGGCTAGGGTTCCGCAAGCGGGGGGTGCTGCACCTGGGCTTATTGTTGAGGGTCAACCACATTTCTTGTGGGCGTCCTTCCTTTGAAGTTGGTTCAAAAGGAGAGCCACAATTCTTGGAAAGTCTCCCCTCATGCTTGCGACATACCAAGGCCAAGGCCCTCCTTCCTCCTTTTGGGTCTTGAGAGTCCCGTGTGGCTCAGTGTTCAGCCTGGCAGCTGGAAGATCAAAGCCTGATTTTCGCCAACTCGTCCTGGTGTTTAGCAGCTCCTTGCCGGCGGGGGTCTTGATGACCACGTGCGCCGTCACGACCCCCGCCACGCCGCTCTTCTCTTGCAGCCAGGAGCGCTTGATCCAGGAGGCGAACAGCGGGGCATTCCTGCGAGCCAGTCCAAGTCTTGGTTGATAAGACGCGTGTCCCAGGGATCCTTCAACTTGTGCCAAGTTGATTAATTCATCCAGGATCAACATTACAGCTCGGCGCACCCCCCCAAATCCCTAGCCGATGGAAGCTATCAGAAGCCTGCGCGAGATTTCTGGAAAGCCGAGCAAAGGCTAATGGACAACTTCAATGCAGGACATCTGCCGGGACAAGGTGCTCATTCCCATGGAGTTTTCGCACGCTACCATCTTCCGTGATGGGCACCGTGTCATCGATGCGCTCTCCGCGCAAGAAACCGCGCATCTTGTCCGCTTGCTCCTGAGCCACTCAAGCCGCCAGAGAGTTAGGATGGGACAAATAAAGAAAAAACACCTCTTGCTTGCAGCACTCCAGACACCAAAAACAACAAAAAACACTTGGTGGCCTTAGACCTGGCCACAATCTTCTCACACCAAGCCCCTAGATGCTGGCGAGAGTGAGCCAAAGCACCTGTTGAACACCTGGCAACCACGAGTCTCACGCACTGGCCCCGTGGCTCACTCCTTCTCAGCGGTTCGGTTCGCCTTCAGCTGCTTGAGGATCTCGGCCAACTTGTGCCGGGCATCGCCGTTCCTGAGGCAAAGGCACTCCGGACCAACGCAACCACTGACCCGGTGACCTTTCCAACCAAAGAGTTGCAACATGCTCTTGGGTCTGTCTTTTTTTGGGTGCCCGTTCTGTTTTGAGGGCGGGGGCTAAGTGGAAACCAAACGGAAAACCAAAGTCCGTTTTGGAATCCAAAAAAATACACTCTTTTTAGGCAGTTGGCCCATTTACCGTGGGTCCCGGGCCCAAGACAAAGGGAACAACGAGGTGACTGGGGGCCAACCAGCGAAGTATGGCGGACGCGTTGTTTCTTGGGCCCCGCCCGAGAAAGCCACTCTGCCCCTGGCCTCACAGGGATTGTCATTCTGCAACAGTGGCCATTTCCCGGCGGTAATTTACCGGTGGCTTCCAACAAAGCCGCCACTTTCAAGAGAATAAATTTGGAATTCGAGGGACTGTGTCAAAGTTGGGAGGCGTCTTCCGTGCCCACAGGGGAATGGAACTTGAAGAAATAGACAAGTGGTCGAAACCGTCCTTTTCAGGTGAACCCAAGACTCTCTTGAGTACATTGCCCAACCAAAGTCCACACTTTCTGTTTCCCACTAAAATGGCCACCAAACCCCAAAAGTGACTCAAAGAATTCTCACAAAAGAGTGGGACCTTCATTTTTTTCCAGCCGGACCAGATGGGCCGTGGTGTTTCCCGTCTTAAAACCGGGGCCCCGGCCCCGGCTCCAGCACCACCACCTGCTCCAGATCCTCCCGGGCCTCCGTAAGCTTCCCCTGCCCGATCCGGGCCACGCCCCGGCGGTACAGGGCCTTGGTGTTCTGCGCGTTCCGCTGCAGCACCTCCTCGGACGGAGCTGACGGAGGAGCTCGAAGGCTTTTGGGGGGTAGGTGTCTCTCGTCTTTCTGTTTTAAGGCTTAGATGTTATTAGATTTGTGTTTATTGCCCTCTTTATATGTATAATGTTATTTATTTGTGCGTATGTAGGCTTAAGGCTCAAGCTAGGCTTGCTAGCCTTAGCGGGCTGAAGTGCCCGCGTAACCCCCTTTTTTCACCTCTCGCTTGTGTGATCCATTTCGCGTGAGCCCACCTGGCACAGAAGGAGCAGGAGGCTCCGATCTGAATCCAGGTTTGCGATAAGAGCGGCAAGTGCAGGGCTGCTCTCGGTGGACCCTGAAGTGGAGGCTGGGCATTGGAGACGTCTTGCTCGCCACCACTCTTGGTGCCCGGAGATGGCATGGCGATGTTCACAATGTGTGAGGGTGAACAAAGCCTCGGCAAATTTCTGCATGAATTGCGGAGGATGCCAGGGAGACTTTGTCCAGAATGGCTGGGGAGGAGATCAAAGGCCGAAGAGCCCACGTGTTCGCCCCAAGTCGCCGAGAGCACGCAAAGGGCAGCAGAATGCCGAAGGTTGGTGGGGAACATCGTCTTACCAAACGCGTCAGATGTCGGCAGCGCCATGGTTGCAGGGCCACACGGGCAAAGGAAATGGAGCTGCAGGTGCAGGCAAAAGCAAGGGAAAGACCAAAGAGCAGCATATGGAGGCGCCTTCCTGGGCGTCATCTGCGCCTACTTGGTCGGGATCTACATCTTGGCAGGGGTTGCAGGAAGAGAACAACGCGCAAGTCAAGTTGGATACCTTGCTGGCAGCTGTGCAGAAGCTGCCACAAATCCCACAGAGCAGCTGCAGAAGGCAGTGGCCGATGCCGCATCTCAGAGTACGCGCTCGCTACATCAAGCTGTGACTCGAATGGGCCAATGCAAGAAAACCCTGAGCGAACTCCAAGGTGCATGGTCTACGCGCTTGGGTGCTTGGGAGGCCTATGTCACGGAGGTGCAGGAGTCATGGAAGCGCAATTTGGCAGACTTCCAAGAGGAGGAGGAATCATATTTGAAGAAGCTCGCAGATGCGGAGAAGGAGTTGGGAGTCGCAAGGAAGGCGGTCAGAGATGCCTCCAAGAAGGCTTCCAAGGAGGCAGAGACTCTATCAGCGGAAGAGGCCAAGGAGCTGGACGATGCCATCAGTGTAGACTCGGAGGAGCTCATGACGGATGGTGCAGGAACTCATTCGGCGTGGACAGCCCAGACAGCCTTGAACGCTTTTCGTGTGCGAGGTTCGAGCCAGAAGAAGCGCATGGAGGAATTTGCCGAGAAGTTAAAAGTGGAGCAAGAGGAAAAGAAGGTGAAGGAAACCCTCGGCAGAGAGAGGAGCCCAAGGAGGAGATCCAAAAGCCCAGAAATTCCAGTCGAAGGCCCGGAAGGAGAGGCAGAGAAAGTTTTTTGATTCGCTGTGGAGGTCATGCAACCGAGCAGGAGTGTGGAACTAACAACACTTGTGAGGGATTCTGCAGCGGAACATGCTGAAAGGGTGCACCTTTTCTTTCGCAGTCATGGCCTGGAGTCACTCTGTTGTGGGTATGGAAGACTTCGTGTGCCAGCAGAAGGCCGAACTCCAGGCAATACATTTAGCATTCAAAATGCTGGAGCCGCATGAGTATGCCCAACATCACGGGCACGCTGCAGGTGAACGCCGGAAGGAGCATTTTCTTCAAAGGGAAAAAGCTGGTTGTATGAAGCAGGTCCGTTTTGGTGGAGTAGAGTGGTATGGGTTTGATCACTCTACTGAGACCCAGCTGCATGCCTTTTCGGAGAAATCGTTGGGTGAGGGAACCTGCGGTAAGTCTCGACTACGCCCACATTGCAGTCAGTCAGGTGACCGCCCGGACGGGACCGCAGGAGCCCTACGCAGTAAGGCCTGTAATACGGGCAGAAGCCGTAAGTCGGAGGGCTCCACGAAAACAGTGCCAGGTCAACCAGTCGGGAAGCGCAAAGCGGATGCCATGTTTCGTGTTCTTGTCTTCCATGAGCAAGGCACGGCAGCATTTGATTGTCGGGAGCAGGCTACCCTAAGAGAGGTCAAGGCTATCGTTTGTGAACAGCAGCCAGCTCTGGTGGATCATATCCTTATCCGGGCTGATTCTGTGCTCCCAGCGGCTGTACCCTCGCATGATGAACCTGTTGCTTTCGTCCTGCAGAAAGGGTTTGGGCCGCCTGATCGCAAAATTGCAGTGGTTTGCATGGAGGCACCTTTCATCATGCAGTCAGTTGAGGTCTACAGATTTGATAGAGGAGTCGACCTATTAGCAAGGCTCGCAGTTTCATACTGCCATTTCTTTGTTGAGCACGATCAACAGGGATATCTATTTGATGAGTTGCCTTTCTTGGATGGGATGGTCCTCAAAATCAGGCCGCTATGGAGCCAGGATGATGATAATGCAGATGCTTTGGATGTGAGAGCCTGCAATAAGTCTCGACTACGCCCTAGCAGCAGTCAGACAGGCGATCACAGAAGTGGGATTGAGGAACCACAAGTAACACCCCTAAGCGGTCTGTCTGGTACTACGAGCAGAAGCAGTCAATCGGAGGGCTCTTTAGTTCCTGAAAGTCAGATTGGGGTGGGAGCCTGCGGTAAGTCTCGATCACGCCCGGAGAGCAGTCAGGCAGGTGACCACATTTCCTGGACGCAGAAGCAACGAGAGTGCACCCTACGCGGTAAGGCTTCCAGTACGGGCAGGAGCAGTAAGTCGGAGGGCGCTACCGCAAACAAAGTTGAACTTGGTCTCTCAGCAGCCGTTGCTTCGAACAGTCCGAGAACCTGCTCAGCGGGCCCTATAGAGCAAGTACCAGCAGAGTGGCAGGCTTTGATTGGGCAACAAGAAGAGCAAGAGGACGACCCGGGAGGCGAGAATGTAGAGGTTGAAGCTGAAGCAGATAGAGACCAAAATGGAGATGATGGTCCTGATCAAGGAGGTGAAGAACATGGAAATGAGCACGAGGAAGCAGCCATGAGAGTGGTTATCCTTAGCTACCAATTGCGGTCCCGTGCTTTCTTGGTTACAGAGACGGCCTTTGACCAACACAGGGGCATTATGGAAGACAACATCCGGAGAGCCCTCTTTCAGGATTGGGCAGCGGAGCAACCAATTCCGGATGATAGTTTCAGGTGGATGGGTATACAGCCCCAACCGGATCGCACAGGTGATCAGATACATGCTTTAGTTTGGGATGAGCAAGCTCTAAGGCCGGGAAGAGTGCAGGTGCTGGTTCACTTCAAACATGGCCAGGCCCTTTTGAAGCAGAAGGTCTTTGAGATTGACGGCCGGCTTGATCGAGAACAGCTGGTTGCGCCTCTGATTCTTGACCTGGAAGAGCGGGCAGAGTTTGTACCTGCAGTAGAAGTGATCTGCCATGGTCGACATTGGCCACAGCATGACCTTGTTCCTAGAGAAGTTGCGCACGCAGCATTGGTCATTCTTTACTTCCGCAGAGAACAACCAGCTCGCAGCCGCAGTCGCACACCCCCAGAACGGCCAGAAGTGAGGCGTAACCAGATTCTCAATGATTGAAATGCGGAGCACCATCAGGTTGATCCGAGATGCATGCACGTGCCAGGCATTCAGGAGCTGTCGAACTCCCTACATGAGCCATGGACAAGGAAGGCTTGTGATCTTTGGGCAGGCGCAGTGGAGTTGCCGGGCGATTGTGTCACTATGTTCGCAGGTGCTGGGTCACTATCCCTTGACGAATGTGACCATATTTGGATTTTCTCGGATGGCTCCTCCATTTGGCACCAAGAGCAGTGGAGGCAGATTGCTGGCTTTGGTTTTGTGGTGGCTGGATGGAATGTGGAGCAGCAGCAATTTTGTGTGCTTGATCATTGCTATGGTCCAGTTGTCATCTCAGCTAAAGACCCAGCGTGGAAAGGAGCCAACCTGGCTACTTCAGCTGCAGCAGAAACTGAAGCACTGACCTGGGCTGGGCAATGGGTCTTACAAGCAGACCTGAGGAGCGATGCAATTGTGCATCTTGTTTCTGATTATGCTTCTGGCATATATGGTACACAAGGTGTGTGGAAGTGGGCAAACATTCCGGTGTCGAATCAATGGGCGCGACACATCTGGAAAGATATCAGCTCCAAGTTTGCCACGCACTTTTTATGGGTCAAAGAGTCAAAGGCCATAATGGTATGCTATGGAACGAAGCTGCCGATAAGCTTGCGGGTTTTGCAGCAGAGACTCAATCCACCAATTTGGGCACGGTTGGTACTGTTTTAAGCGACTACAAGACAGCTCTGCCATGGTTGTGGATGGTCAATGCGGCTGGATGTGATTTGCCATGCTTCGAGGCAGACACCCTGGTTTTCAGTGGAATTTCACAACAGAGCAGTCCCAGTTTTCCGATGAATGCACAGCAGCAAAAGCCGACGACGTCCATGAGCTGGGGGCTGCTTCTGGCCACCATCAATGTGCAGACCCTGCAGGACAAAGGTGACTTCCATCTTGCTGCAGGCAGGACCAAGGTCTTGATGGCGCAGTGTGAAGCCAAAGGCTTTTCTGTAGTGGGGCTGCAGGAAACACGTCGTTCCCAAAATGGAGCTTTCCCTTTGGGGGAATATTATGTCTTCGGTGCCGCATGTGAAAAGGGTCAAGGCGGAGTAGAACTTTGGTTCCACATGCGACGGCCATGGGGCTTCAGCAGCACTGGGGAGGTGCGCTTCCAACCCGGAGAAGCCACAGTCATTTGTGCTGAGTCGAGAATCCTGATTGTGAGATACCACAGAATGATTTTCGCAGCCCTGTATGCGCCGCACGAAATGCACACGCAGGAAGTCCGAGAGCTTTTCTGGAACAGAGTGGAGCATAAGCTAACTGGGTTCCGTGATTTGGGCTTTCGCATCTTCCTCATGTGTGATGCCAATGTTGCTTGGCAGCCAGGTTTCCGGTGCAGTTGGAAAGTTTGCCCCTGAAGAACAGAATCAAAATGGAGCCTGCCTGCAGCACCT